GGGCTTTCTGTTGTCTGGGGCTAATTAGGCCCATGGCTAATATATCTTCCTTGCGTAAAAGACAAAAAAATCGTCCTTTAATCTATTTAATTCACTTTGAACTTTACTAATCTTTTTCATTTGTGTATGCTGGCTTTCTCTCAGCTGTTGGGGACTTTCTTGTTGTTTATTTTATTTTCCTCCAACAACTGCTGTAATCTCTCTTCTTGTTTCTTTTCTCGTTCTTCTTGTATCTTTGCTGTTCTTGTATTGCTGCCATCAAATCTGCTAAGCTGTAATATGATTTACCACTTCTCGTTTCTATCTTCTCTTATTTTTTTCTTTTCCGTCCCACTCTCTGACACTAATTTGTTACTATCTCCTTGCTTGTTAATTTCCTGTAGAAATTCTTTCCGAGAAATTTCAGCGATAAAAGTGCTTTCTTGATTAAAACTAGTTTATTGTTTCTCGATACAAATTTTAGTAATACACAGAATTTCCACAGTCACTTTAAACTTAACAACCTTTATAACACACGCTATGAAATACAGTGATTCACACATTTTACTTATGGTGCCTACTGTTCGCTTGACTCAATTATCTATCTTTTCAATCTATCTGCCTGTATCGCTGGCTTTCTTTGCCAGGCTTATATACTAAAAAAGTAGGGCGTCTAGCAAACACTCGGACATTTGCGGGGTTCCCCGATAATTTTAGAAGCTCCAGCGCGCATGCTCCCAGAATCACGCGACTTCCGCTGTCGTGACACTGCCCCTTCCTTATTATTGTTCGTCCCGAACAATAGCCACTTACATTTAACCAGTAGATATTTAACAATAAATTTGTTTTTATCTCAGTCATGCATTTTTTTAGGGTTTGTAACGAAATATATTTTAATCACAAATCACGTGTGTTTTAACTGAAACATAACTCGTGATAAATAAATCTTTTGATTGTAACTTAAATAATTAATAATCTAGTATTAAAAACAAATAAGTAATTAGATGTTCATTAAACCCATAAACCTAATTCTGATGTATGATGACGTAAATATAATTGATAAAATTTACAGTCCACCAACTTAATCCTGTACACACCAATCAGTTGTTCAAGTAATTGAGGATTTAAATAGCTTCTCGACTACCATTAAATCTGTCGCATCCAACTCGGGCTGATGATCGTTGATATTAAACAAAAGGCCTTGTAGCAAATATTATTGATGTGGTTGACATATTATTACATTATTTTTTTACTTTCACTCATAAGTCTTTATAATCAACACCAGTTTTTTCTGGGTTTTTTTTTGTCATTCCTATATGGACGTGTGCTCTTATATTTTTGTCAACTTTATAGGAACCCCTTACCCATGAAAAGAGCGAGTGATCATAGAAATATCAAAACGCCAATGACGAGAATCCAATCAAAAGGTAACTCTGACTAACAGATTTGGTCTATTTATAATTTATCATATCTGATATAAAACATTAATTAGTATTAGGCCGATGAGCTCTGTATTGAACGAAACGTGTCGTCGGTAATGAATATGGTGGAAATACTAGTATAAGTTCTTTTTCTTGAAAAATAGAATATCCGTAATACTAATATCTTATGACAAATATGATTAATTATAATCATACTTCGCCAGCTTAGAAAAGACGTTCAGACCATAAGAATAAATACTTAGTTAGAGCCTACTAGTTCGATTGGGGTCATAGTGATCTTATTGTATATAAGTGATGTATGGTTTTCAGTTTTTTGTTGGATAGTATGAATATTATTAAGTCATTTATTAAAATGAGGAATCCAACAGTAAAGTGGATACACATGTAAAACAGCCGCATAAGGTTAAGTTTGGTTAACCGTGGGTGTTATATAACTTCATTTACAAATATAAGTTTAAATGTGAACCAAACAAAAGCAGCTGAAATGTCACTCTTATAGTGAATATTTGTTTATTTTTTCATAAATAGGGTTTCCTGGATTTTTCAGTTTTTATTTGTTATTCATTGTTCCAATCACTTTGTTGACTAGTGCGGTGTACACACTAGTGATTGTTAAATACTTTCCAGATTTCATTAATTATACTAATGTTTACAAACTAATCACTTTATTGACTGCTCACCAGTATCACTGTTGACTGATGAAGAATTCTCTTCAGTTTAAAATACCATCTGTAATTTATTAACTTTTCTCTTACGCCCTTCTATTGTTTTAATTAGTACGACCAACGACATTGTTACATGTTTATGAATATATTTCAAAAATGGATACATGTATCAAACATCAAAGCTTAATCACCTGGACTAAAGTGCTCATCTTCATTAGTTGAGCAGTAACCATAGAAACATATTTTATTGTGATACAGTGTAGTAATTGATGATAAACGAAGAAGCACGATTTTCAAGTAGAACTTATATTTCAGGTTATATTTAAAGATTTCAATAACTTTAATGAACGAACGTGGTAGAGTAATAATGTAATTTTGCTTAACGATATACGTACATCACAATCCTGCTTATTAATATATATCATCGCTACTCACAGAATATCACGAGTATGCTCTCCTTAGGTGTGGAAACATTTTCTTAAGAGTAACGAAACTCCTTCAAGATCACCTGAAAGATCACCACCTATATCAAGTCAAATGCTCATTACGGCAGGTAAGACTTCAACTTGTGGTACCATCTATTGTAAGTTTTATGTATTAACCAGAACTAGCGTATAGCCCGTCAAAAATGATGGGGCAAGTACTACCACCCTAACCTCACATTTAATAGCTAACTGAAATATATTAAATTTTGCAAAGCATACTTGACCAACAAATAGGCAGAAAAGTGTAGTCGAGGCAGTCAAACGTTGGTAAATTCCTTTGGGATCCAATCAAAATTAAGATCATTCATGAAATTAATTCGTGGGGTATTCATTGAATAATTATTGGTAAAAATCAGTTACATTAACAACTTCTAATATATAGAAAAAAAAAGCCAGTGCGTTTTGGTAACACTATGTTCCAACAATGGCGTTTATGTCATGTTGCTTAGCAACTAAAGTGTAACCTGTTATTGTTGTTAGTCTAAGTACTGAAAGTATAAAATGAAATATAGAGAGAACAAAACTGGAAAATATTTGTGGATTTCTTAATTTAGTCTCCATTAATTAAAGAGGTTTGTTTTTATTAAAATGGTATAAGAGAAAATAGCTTGATTCATAAACGATTTAAGTTTAAAATTGAATCAGTGTTTTTATTTTCATGAGAAATTTTATGCATTTGGCTCTAGCCTAGGTGATCCCACACTACGTCTTTACTTTAGGCTCATTATACCAACACTCACTACGCTTATAAGGTTTCACGCCCCACCACCCTGACGGCCCCATTGCACCCCCAGTTATTAAAATCGTAATAGGCAGACAGTAATCGAACTATTCTATCCGGATAAATGCATTGTGGGTTTTATGACTCCTCCATTTTGAGAAATCAAGCGTGACGTGACACACACTGGCTTTTATTTTGGTTGGATACATATATCACAACTTACTTGCAACACCACTAACCATAAGAAAAAATCCTGATTTAAATATTAGTACAAAATGTAGTACCAAAATATATTAGTTGTTTTAGCGCAAATCTGCACAATGAGCTATCTGCACTCTGTTAAACGCGGAAATCGAACCCCGGATTTCAGCGTGTTTTTTTATATGAGTGTGTATAGAAACCAAGTGGAATGGGAAGTGGCTAAGCAAGCAAAGTAACATTTGTGATTAGGTTACCTATTTCATAACTAGAAGTCTTTAGTTGTACGCTTATGAGCCACGGCTATCTTTAGTTTGAATAAACATGCTACGGTGCCATGGCTTTTCGAGGGATCCAGCGATAGTGTATGAAACCACTAGTTTTATATTATAATTCACTTTTACTTTAACGTTAGTTTCATTAACATTAGTGATTAAATGTTTAATATATGTATGTTAATACTTCTATTATGATTATTTTGCTTTGTAAGGTTAACACATGAACTTAGGGCCAAAGTAAACCTTCCAAGGTGGCCAAAACTCGCGAGATACTGTTAGGATTACGGCCATGAACATTGCTAACAACGAGGGTATCCAACTGACTGCATATACCTAGTTTGAACGGTACATTGCATTAGATGTATTAATTACTGGTTCATTTTTTAGTTATAATCTGTTTTTTGATCATAAGTTAATGAGAACTCCTTTAGACTTGGCGCTCCCTTTTCTTGTGGCGAGGCTACTCTTACTGATGAAGATAAAGGATGGTACTCTTACTGATGAAGATAAAGGAGGCGACCCTCACTGAAAGCTGGTGCTATATCCTTGTTCAGGTTTTTACACTATCTTCCTGCTTCACTGTCGAAACAAAGTAGGTTTATCTGAAGGTTGAGGTTTTTCCATTGTCTTGTATGTACTATAGACATCGGCTCCGACCCTGTAGGTGGTTTCATAACTTGAGCACTCATGGTACATGAAGCTCAGACAGCCACGAAATCTGGAGGGGCTGAGATAAAGGAGGCTACTCTTACTGATGAAGATAAAGGAGGCTACCTTACTGATGAAGATAAAGAAGGCGACCCTTACTAATGAATACAAAGGAGTCTACTCTTACTGATGAATATAAAGGAGGCGACCCTTGCTAATGAAGATAAAGGAGGCGACCATTACTAATGAATATAAAGGAGGCTACTCTTACTGATGAATATAAAGGAGGCGACCCTTGCTAATGAAGATAAAGGAGGCGACCATTACTAATGAATATAAAGGAGGCTACCCTTGCTAATGAAGATAAAGGAGGCGACCCTTACTGATGAAGATAAAGGATGGTACTCTTACTGATGAAGATAAAGGAGGCTACTCTTACTGATGAAGATAAATTCATCAGTAAGAGTAGCCTCCTTTATCTTCATCAGTAAGAGTAGCCTCCTTTATCTTCATCAGTAAGGGTAGCCTCCTTTATCTTCATCAGTAAGAGTAACCTCCTTTATCTTCATTAGTACGAGTAGCCTCCTTTAACTAAATCAGTAAGAGTAGCCTCCTTTATCTTCATTAGCAAGGGTAGCCTCTTTTATATTCATTAGTAAGGGTCGCCTCCTTTATCTTCATCAGTAAGAGTAGCCTCCTTCATCTTCATTAGTAAGGGTCGTCTAATTTATCTTCATCAGTAAGGGTCGTCTCATTTATCTTCATCAGTAAGGGTCGTCTCATTTATCTTCATTCGATGAGACCTAGATGTAGCTCATTCAACCCCTTAGTGTGGATAAGTATATTAATCATCTTGAAAGGTCCCATCATGAGAGTTGTATTATTGGATTAATCTAGCTTTCTAGAATATTCTTGTAATGTATAGTTGGTTTTCACAGCGAAGGGTGAACAGAATCCATATTAATAAAAGCTATTCGGAACGGAACCGCCTTACAGCTGGAACCAAGATCCTACATATAGAAGTGTCCGTTTAAGGTGAATGTTGAGTCATCTGACGAGATAACTTTCCAATCCTTATTGTATTAACATTTCATCATTGTGATTCTTGGAGTAAAGATTAACTTGTTTGCTGTGACTCTAATATTGCATCTCGGATGACTGAAGTCACTTTGTACGTTTTGTTGTTAAAATACTTGACGATGTCCGGCACTGAACTCTTGACCACATTTTCCTACTTTCCCGATCGCACTGCTATGGACACGTTAGCAAGCCACGAGATATTGAAAACAAACGCACATGTATACTTTTACCTACCGTTAACAGCAATGGCTAGCTCTCATATCTCTAAACACACGTAACACCTGTGGATGAGTGCATATTTAACGTGCAGAAAAGGTTCACTCCAATAATGCTAACAGTTGTTGGGATTATTTTCATTCAGTGTTATTATAATTGTAAAAAAGCTATTTGAAGTTTAACTGGAGTTAATACATGGTCTTTATACAACCACATATATGTGGCACGAGAAGCTAAATATTGTAAACGTTATATTTATCACAATTTTTTCTCTAAATGATGTGGTTTTTCAAGAAAACCTGTTCACAGACGCTGATGAATCATTTAGTTAACAGCGAACCTCAGCTTTTGAGTGACAATTTTACTTAATCTCTTTACAAGTAGCGACGTAACGTCTCCATTATTTTAGTTAATTTCAAATGTATAAGATAAAATATCATTAAAAACCGACTTCTCTATTTCAGGCTTTCTTCAAATGTATAAGAAATTATCGCGAAAAACCGCGTTGGGACCTGATGCCAGTTATGAGCAACAATTTACGGAAGTTTCGGAAGAGACTCGCCGATAGTTTGTGGTCGACTCGTTCTTGTGTCGTCTCGCAGAACTGAGTCTAATCAGCAAGTTCATACGGACACCAACACATACATTAAATGTATAGCCAGCGACTGTTACAGATGGCGCCCTGTACTCTGATTTCCACAAAGGCTCAAAAATATCTGAAATTTACATTTAAATTTTGAGATGAAGAAAAAATACTTGTAATAACTAAACATGTCATTTTCTTTAAAACAGTTTAAGCCTAGAGAAGTTTATAAAATTATTTTTAAATGTTTTTCTTGGAGTTTTTAAGTTAAAATATAAATATTTAATAAAGAAGAAACTCATTTCTTATGAGAGTTTAATAATGGCTGGAGACGGCTTGAATGGGTAATGAAGAAAAACTTTAATACAACAGCAAAT